TGTATGCTCTTCCCTCCATATTGACAGCTTTAATACAATACAAATATCCAGGGCAAGTCTTCCTCAGTATATCCAAACCTCAAATCACATAAACCATTGAGGTCATCTCTGAGAATTATGATTATAAGTTGGGAACCATGATATGTTACCCACAGACAAATAAAAACGAGATACTTGTACTTTAAGACTTTAAGGATATTGAGGCTATAGCACCTGAACAATTGTATTTTCTCACCTTGGAATTCTATGTCAAAATACAAAAGCCTACGAAAGTAATTACCTGGAAGATTAGAGTAACACTTTTTTTGTTTACTGTCACAAAACTTGTATATGTGGCTAAAAATAAATAACTGTGTTGAACCCATTTAACCTGCCAAATGCACATCCAATATTGAACCCCTTCATAACCAGTGACATGCCAGGACCATCAAGCTATGAGGGATTTACAGAGCCACATGCATGGGAAGGGTTAGTAGCAGTCTGCTATGAATCTGAAACTGTATGGAATGATTATTTGTGGAAATAGTTATGGAACACTCACGCTGACAAATCAGGACATTCATGATCAGAACGGTTGCATCTTTTCAAGGATAAACAGAGAACACATATTAATTCCTGATTCCTAAACAGCATTTCACATTGATAAAATACATAAGAGCTATGGAAATGGGATTTCATTAAAAAAAAAACCTCTCTGGCATTTGTATCTTGTCCAGCATATTTATTGTCTGAATAGCTTTCCCCTAATTTGTAAAATATAGATTTTGTTTACATAAAATGATGACCTTCAATGTTTCGTCAATTATACACTCCATTAGCAAATGGTGTTATCCCAAAACCACGAAACCCAATTTTTCATAATTATATAACAATTATAAACCGCATTTACCTCCATTACACAAATGCAGCAAAGTGATGACTGCTGTCACTGCGCTGACCTGCATGATTAATGGATGTAGTAGGGATGATACATAATAGAGTACGTGGCTCTCAGTGTACAATGTATCGGCAAAAAATTTTTGGAATGTGTTTAGGATTGCATTTTCTTACACATAGATCATGTTTCAAAATAAATTCAGCACATATCGGAAGTAAAATTAATATCACAATATAACAACAAAATTATATGCGTGATTTGTCTTTTTCCCCCTCTCTCACATGTTTGCACAGTTTGTTAATTGTCACTGCTTTTGCTATAGCATGTTTTTTTATGTACATTGATATTTTAAGAAACACTCAAGACCCCTAAAGCTTTATGTGTGAAGTGTGTGCCTATTTTTCCATTTTAAAAAAGTTCAGATTTCAATAGAGATTGGCACTTTTATAAAATAACCTGGTTCCACCCCCATCTTTTTGTTTTCAAGAAGACTACCAGTCTATTTTCTTCTTGGTTGTTTAGCTCAGTGTTAAACTAAACTTGGTGTTATACTAAAAGTTCCTGCCCTGCAAATACTTCTCAATCAGCTGCATTGGGAAGTCTGTGATTGGACAGCCACAGAAAGTCTGGGCGGGGTTAGGAGAAGAGGACTTGCAAAGGCTTCATGTTTCGTAAGCTGTTTTTTAGAAATACCCTCAATGGAAGCATATATAATTAAATGCATGCATGTTTTCATTTTTGTATATCTACTAAACAGTAATTTTAATTATTTTGTATTTGGGCAATGGAGTGTCCCTTTAATAAAGAGAACTTTATTTATTTATCTATTTTCTTCTACATTGGGGTGCAACATTTGATTATACTGTTTTTTTTTTAGAGATATGTTTGGAGCAGAGAGATGACATGGAAGAGATGACCTTGTAAAATATGGCAAGTTTATAGAGATGGTAAAGAAGGGGAAGGGTAGGAGCAGGGAATTTGGAAAAGTTATGAAAGTCAGAGACTGAGAAGCTGGTAACACATCAGCTATAGTAGCAGTCCCTTCCACCGCTGGTTTATTTATCTAACATGGGTAGTCTATTATTCACTGTGTAAATCAATAAAGTGTGAAGTGCCATGAATTCAAAGTGAATTCAAAGTGAATTTTACATTTCACATCTAAAATTGCTGAACTGAAATTTAGTTGACAGAGCTCAGTTTTCCAAGAAGTCTAATCTCACCTAAAATTTGAAATTAACTTTGAATTCAATTAAAATTCCCAACAGTTCCCACTTTAGAGACTTACCTTGTATATATTTAATGTCGTGAATCTATGAAATTGTCAGATATTAAATTTAGGTTTTCTTACATATACAAATTCATAAAACAAATTGCAAAGGCACAATTTGTGAAACATTAATGGTAAAGTATTTAAACATTAGTTTTAAACTACTAATCATGTAAAAGCATGCTTGCGAAAATTGTGAGGCAAGCTGTTATACAGATCTAGCTTGTATACTCAGTATTTTTATTATTTTCTACTTATAATGTTTCTTGCTTCATTATTTATTTGTCTTTTGTCTCATCATGTAAATTTCATAATAACGCAAGATTTTTTTTCTGAATACTTTACCGTGCATCAAATTGGTGCAATCCAGACATTCTAAGAAGATTTTTATGTAATATGTTATTGAGGTTGAAAATAAAACATGGTTTGCCTTTTACATGATATATAATATTGATATTTGTCTATGCACACATTTAGTATAAATTAGCCTAATTGGTAAAAATAACCAATGTTAAAGGGGCTTCAAGAAGCATACTGAAAAAAGGTATTCTATGCTTTTATGAAAGTTATTTATATTACTGTAAACCCATTATGGCTGGAAATGGATCAGAGGTTAAAAAAGTGCCATTACCCTCCCTCGAAGCCCCCAAATAGCTGAAAAGCTCCCTAACCCAATTTGGCTGAAATGCACTATTAGTCCTCTTATAGCAAAAAAAGTAATAAATACTGGAAAAGCACTATAGTCTTAGATTTGAGGAACTATCATTAGACGTCTAGAGCAGTGGTTCCCAAACCAGTCCTTATGGCCCACCGACAATCCAGGGTTTTTGTATTTGACTTGTTGGTGGGCCATAAGGACTAGTTTGGGAACCACTGGTCTACAATCTAGAGTTACTGTGCTGGGATTGTAGCCAACGGAAAAAGGATCTACTGATTTAATTTTTGTAAACTGATTAGACATTGTCATTGATGCTTTTAATTTTACATTATGTGATGAATTAAGTTGAACAAAACTACTAACATATAGTTTTCCAGTGATAATCTTTCTGCTTACAGCCTTCAGTTCCTAACCAAAACTGACAAATTGAAATCCGGCTCTCTATTGCTATCTGGAGACCTTAATTGCATTGAAGAACCCATTATTTAATTGCATTTTAGGAATGTCTAAAGTGCTGTCAAGTGCTGTCAATCCTACACAAAACCTATTTGACATCTCACTGTCACAAAATCAATGACCTTTTGTCTCGATATACTCTTTTTGACTCCCGGTGAATCAAACACTTAATGATGGTGCATTTCATTCTAGAGTTTACAATTTGAATACCTGGATTGACAGCTTTTTAGTAAATAGACCGCAGTCCATATCCTAGTCAAATCATGATATAGGAATGCTTAAGGTGATAAAGGAGAGAAGGTCATCAATAAATGCACTGATTGTTTAATAACTTCATGTGCAATGATAACCTTTATCAAGAAAGCATGCAACAGTTACTTATAAAATTATTATCAACAATTCGGTAGAGAATACCTTTTCACTGACCGATGGAAACAAGCATCATCTTGCTTAATTATCTGTAAATGCCTACATAATCTCATAGCAAAATCGCAAAATGATCTTTGAGAGATTCTGCTCGGTCATGAAAATTTCCATTAACTCATGTTATGTCCTCTCCCAGAGTACTTTAAGAACAGCAGCTCCTGGTTGATAAAGCTGCAAGGAGCTGGAAATCTGGGTAAGGGAGAAAATGAGAGTTCAAAGGAAGCCTACCTTTTCCTTCTCCCCTCCAGTTGCTACAATGTAAGTACAATTGTCACCGTGGGGGTGCAGTAATGCAAAGTGATACTTTAATATCCATTATAATTTACTGTCTGGTTCTATGGCTCCAAAAATGGAGGGAAGGTTTACTAAACAGCTATTTCCATGTTACAATGCCACAAGTTGTTTTGTCTCATGACTTCAATATTTAATTAAATCCCATAAGTCATATCAGTGTATAGTTTTTTTTTTTTAATCTTATCTACTTGTACACCCAACAACTGCAAAACATGACAGATATATAACAGGGAACTCAAACCATGGGCCCTCAGATAATGATGGCTTACAACGCCCAGAATACTTTGAATGCTACAGATGGCCAGAGAATCATGGAAGTTGTAGTTAAGAACCATTGGGGGTTTGAGATGCGGGCTGTTTAGCCTTACTGAAAAAAAAATGGCAATTTTATTTACTATTGTTCTCAACTGAGAGATTTATCAACGTGTTCTGGGGCTCAGTATCGGTTTCACTTTATTAAAGTGTTTTAAAAATAGTCTGAAAATGATCTTTCTTCCTTGCATTAACACACAATTTGTTTGCTCCTTTATATTTGTGTACCACTAAAAAAACAAAACTGTTTTTTTTGTGTGTATTTGGCGTCACTACAACAACAAGGAAAAAAGTAGTTTAGAAGCACACCATAAAATAGAATATGCCATTGGTATTAAAAATGGTATTCATATTAAAAACGTGAATGTAACATATGAAAAGCAACACACAAGCTAAAAAAAGACTAAACACGTACAAAAGAAATACATTGTGTTCAAGACTGTCAGAGCTGACCATTCACACCAGAACATCAAAGATTGTTATTTGACATTTTCATAAAACTCCCAACATATTTTTTCCTCTTGCTTCCCAGACGTTCATATAATGTGATTCTTTATGTGTTGTGCAATTATGGAAACATTGTGATATATTTAGTGACCTATGTACACATCATGACTAAACATAGTATTACATTTCCAGAATAAAATAGTATTTTCTTCACAACTTCAATGCCAGTTGATTTAGAGTGACAGAAAATCCTTACCTCCTGAAAGCTATTTAGTAATCTGGGCTAGTGAAGACTTATCTTCTGTGTACAGCATACTAACACATTTTATATGGGGAATTCACCTTTAAAATCTGCTACACTACATGCCTGGAAGAGATCCAGCTTTATTTCAAAACATGCTGTGAAAGACAATCTGTCCAACATTTGCACAGTTCTACTGAGCAGAGTGTGATACTCTCTCTCTGTGTCCTTATTTAACATATTAATTTATGATTTTCCTCTTAAATAGCAATAAGACATTCTGATTAATATCATGTTGCTTTATTTTTCTTAATTTGTCAACTGTGACAAATACTTTCATACTATATAATTCTAAAAGTAATTATATGTACTTGTAAATTTGTCTAAGAATGTTAAAATCGCGCAGGTGTTTATTGAAGCAGTGCCTGCCAGGAACATCAATAAGGAATATAAAATTAAAAGGTATCGATAGAGAGATCTAAATTCATTTATTGAGGTAAACAAAACATTTTTCTAAACCAAATTTGAATGTACTCTTGAGAAAGTCTAGTTAGCTTGGAAAACATACAAACAGAATGTCAAGCAGATGAATATATAAATAGATATATAAAAAGATAAATATATAAACATACTGGGACAAAACGTTGACATATACTGCACGTCATATCTATTTCATATATATTATTTGTAAAATATATGTTAATTATTATTAGCTTCAATTTCACTCATAGGAGAAAGACCCACTTTTGCGACTTTGGTATTATCAAATCTAAGTTTTGCTTTTAAAAACCTTTCTTGTGGAACTTTTTGAAAATTAATTTTCAATGAAAATATTGCACATTCTATTTAACATGTTTGACTCCTGAGTAGTGATGTCCCGAACTGTTCGCCGAACGGTTCGCGAACGGTTCGCTACGGACTCATCATTGAGTAAACTTTGACCCTGTACCTCACAGTCAGCAGACACATTCCAGCCAATCAGCAGCAGACCCTCCCTCCCAGACGCTCCCACCTCCTGGACAGCATCCATTGTGAAGCTGCATTCTTAGTGAGCTGTCCAGGAGCTGGGAGGGTCTGGGAGGGAGGGTCTGCTGCTGATTGGCTGGAATGTGTCTGCTGACTGTGAGGTACAGGGTCAAAGGTTACTCAATGATGAGTCCGTGGCGAACATCACTACTCCTGAGTAAACTCCAATAATCTCATAAAAATAAGTTAAAACAGAAAAAAAGAGGTAATTTTCAGTAGCACAATGTGTAAGTTACTTCTTATATCCACGGCAGATAATAGGATAACAGGGTGGGAATTTGTGCAAACATTTTCTCAGAATTTTTTGTCTAAATGTATTTTTTGGGGAAAGATAAAAAATTAAATTGGAACAGGAGCTAAAAAAAATCCTTATCTACAATACCACTGTAAACTAGAAAAGCTACAATTTCTGGGGAAATTGTGTGAAGTGTTCTTGCCTCCACCAGTAGTCAACAACTGGAGTGGGCAAAGTAACTGGGTGGAGTGGCTTGAGTAACTGTTGTGTGGTTGGATTGGCTGGAGTAACTGTGGAAAGGTTGGACTGGGCAGAGTAACTGTGTGGAGTGTTTGGAGTGAGTAAAGATAGTAAACATTACACTAACCAATTGATTTATCAAATTTAAAAAGTGCACCTGGCAAGCTTGATAGAGTGAGAAATGCATTTCAACTTTTATTTATTTATATAGCACATTTAATTGCAACTTTGTTGCCCAAAGTGCTTCACAGTTACATTAAAACATACATTGATAAAAACATTAGCAGGTGTACAAAAGGCCCTGTCTATGACATCACTTGCTGCTCCAGCCTGGCACAGGTCAGAGTATTTTGGCGGTTTCCATCTTCAAACGGTCGTATTTTAACTATACATCCTACAGTGAAGAGCTTTATATTGTGAGAATCACAAGACCCAGACCTACATTCTGATGCATAGTATGTCTCTGAAGTATTAAAAATGAAGGCACAGTCGCAGTTTAGAAATTGCCCTTCAAATTTAAGCTGGCTGGAGTGGAGTTTCAATGAATGTCATAGACGGCGTGAGTTGCAAACAAATGGTCATATTGTGAAAACTATCAGGACTCTGGCTTAACCGTGGACTTTTAGTGGCAGCAGGGATAGCTGAACATTTTGATATAGGATTTGTGTAGGTGGGCTTGAAAATGAGGGAGTGGTGGTATTTTAGAAATCATGTCCTGATTTTTCAGCTTTTGCCAGCTCCCACTTTAGTTTTGATCAATTTGCCATTCATTCCTATTGGACCAATTTCACCACAAGAACGACGATATTCCGTGAACCATTCAGCGAAACGTTCCACAAAGTAATAGCAATCCGATTGGGAGCAATCCGCAAGTTTTGATATATTTCTGTCTATGTAGTGTAAAAACTGTGGGAGGAGTTAGGGTGGTAAATTTGGCTATAATAAGAATAATAATAACTAGAAAAGCTAAAATTTCTGGGGAAATTGTGTGAAGTGTTCTTGCCTCCACCAGTAGTCTACAACTGGAGTGGGCGGAGTAACTGTTATTATTTATTTATATGGCACATTTAATTGCAATGTTGTTGCCCAAAGTGCTTCACAGTTACATTAAAACATACATTTATAAAAACATTAGGAGGTGTACAAAAGGCCCTGTCTATGACATCACTTGCTGCGCCAACATTTTGCCATTCATTCCTATGGGACCAATTTTGCCACAAGAACGACAATATTCCGTGAGTCATTCAGCGAAACATTCCACAAAGTAGTAGCACACCAATCGGGAACAATCTGCACGTTTCGGTATATTACTGTCTATGTAGTTGTTACGCTACTTGGGTGATTTGGATTGGAACTCAACTGCAGCTTGTAAAACTCCCTAATTACAATAGTGAAGAAGCTGAGAATCTTTAAAGTATCAATACTGTAGCTTTAAGAAAAGAAAGAATTGATGGGAACTTGATTCAAACGAAGTTTTAATAAGTGTTAAACTTAAATGAATTGCATTTAGGCAATAATCCAATAAGAAGAAGTGCAAGTAATCAACAACACAAAGTTCATTAATAAGTATTTGCTCAGAGATGCATTAAGTAACATTCTTTAGGTTAATGAGAATAATCTTCAATAGTAACTTTAAGCAAGTAGCTGAAAATATTTGCAAAGCAGGAACAGTTCATAGTTAATAAGCATGATGGGAGTTGTCCTCCATACAATTAGTAGCTTGAAGCACTGAGTGTATTTGCAAAGCAAGAAACAGTTCATTGTGAATAAGCATGATGGGAGTTGTCCTCCATATAATTAGTAGCTTGAAACAGTGAAGATTTAGTAAGCAAGCATTAGTTCATTATTAAATGATATTGTAGACAAATAGCTGAAAGATATACTTATGGTTAATCTGAGTTGTCCTCCAATGGTTTAGGGCTATGGTCCACTTATAAAGTAAGTGAGTTTCCATTCTCCAGTAATCCTCTATGACATGAAGCATACTTGTCTTAGTCCAGAAGGCTAGGACGTCTTCAGAGTTTGTAGAGCCGGCGTGTCTCCCAGGAGCCGGCGTGCATATTCGGAAGTAGGACCCACAATGCCAGAGACTGTGGAGAGGTAAGTCTGGCAAAGTAGTTCCCAGTATCACCCAACACCCTCTCTCTGGCGCGGTCTCCCTAAATACCGTTAGAGCCGCGTCAGAGGGGGGCGGGGTCCGGCTCCGCACAGCGGAGTGCCGAACCCGGAAGTGTTACCCCATGACAGTAGTGTAAAAACTGTGGGAGGAGTTGGTATATTTGGCTATAATAAGAATAATAATAATATATATGTGAGATAACATTAAGTGGTCTTGCTATGCAAGAACACTTAATGAATCAATACTTACTTAAATCCAAACTGTCTGAAAAATTACCCTCTCTTGTACTATCATATTTTTAAGTTGCAACGCAAGGGTGTCGCACATCAAAACAGTATATTGCACATTTATTTAAATACATAGCTCTTTAATTACTCATGACAAAAAGCACATGTGATAAAGCGATTGATTGTCCCTAAACTTTTGTGTTTCACAGACACAGGGCAGTTATTGATAAAAAAAAAATGAAGACAGATAAAGACAGATGGATGAGTCCTGCTCACTCTGTGTGAATAATACATCACATATGCCACTTTGCAAAATCTGGGGATTAGAGTTATATTGTGTGTGAATAGAATGAGTTTTTCCACTAATTGCAGACAAGTTAAAGATCGCTATCATTTAACCTTTTTACTTTATGAAATCAATTTCACACACAATAAATTATATAATAAAAATACACAAGCTTTCAAGCAGTAAACTGAACAAATCATCTGTGCGACCGCAGGAATCATATTCCAGTATTCCTTTAATACCAATATAGATCTGGCCATTAACAGTGATATAAATATAATTAGCTGTGACGTATAATCATATTTAGATATATTCTAACTTACCAAGATCATGCCTGTATATAGCATCTCAATAGAATGAAAAACAATGAAAAGTGGTTGTTAAAATACATTCTCAACTTAGCTTATTAGCACAGCTGGGAGCAAATATAACATTCTCAGCTGGAATTCTAAAATGCTGATTTATTGTTTTCTTTAAATGAAGTTTAATCAAGTGTTCGCTGTTGTTTTCTTATTAATTTTTCCTTGCATAAAATAGGCTTAGTTCATCTATTGAATGAATGTATTGTAAACATGATGACAGAGCGAGCTAGATTCTGTTAAAAGATGCAGAGTGCAAAACATTATCAGGAAGAGTTTTACTGTTGAAAATCCATTTTTTAACATTAAAAAGTACAGCAGCATCTAATGCATTTTAATAATCTTGAAAGGATAAAGATTGCGAACTCTCAGAATATATCAGAAGCTGTTTCACACATACTGTTGCATTTGCATTAATTCAGAGGTAATAGAATATAATAATTGAATATATTCTCTAAAAGCTAAACGTAGATGCTTTTTATTTTGGTTGATATAATCTTATGCTGCTGTCTGACTAATATTTTGAAATGTTAGGTAAATGGCTGGTATGAAAGGAAATCAGTGGACTTTATTATCAAAACAAAAATGGAGCAATGTTGCAGCAATGAACTAAGGAATAAACATTTAATTGGTTTCCATAGTGACTGCTGCTTATTAAGCACTTTGCTGTATGACATACAGTGTGAATCTCTCCCCAGTGTATCTCGAGGCATATTACTAAAGGAAGAGAAGCTGAGTTAGTGTTTCTCCTATTAATCTTGGACA